TCTTAGAGAGCCGTTACAAATCTTAGCAATCAATACAGTAACGTACGCCATAATGTCGACTGTTATGCAATAAACCCGTAATTAATATGGTAACGTTCGCCATAATTATATAGCCATTATGCACGTATTAATTGCCGAGGAAAATAAAATATGTAAAACATGTTAAATTGTCTTTTTTAAATAAAATATCCAACAGTCCCCCCCCCAAAAGGCAATATTAACTGAAAACTCAGTAATCAATAATCAATAAATAAATCAAGAAATCATAAAACAAATATAGGTTGGGCAATCTTTCGTATCGTGAATTCGGGAGAGGTAGCTTCCGACTTTGAACCTTTCCTTAGTGAGTTCATCGCTACCTGAGGGACATAATGGACTAGGTCTTGAATTAGGCCCCTTTAATCAGGTATTGATGAAAACACACACAATACGCTTCATCTATTGAGCAAAGCGGGTTGAGCGTTAAAGGCCATGCTCACAATAAACCGACTCATGAGAGTTTCTAGGGGTTAACCCAGCCCCCCCTAACTGCGACCATCACAATTCCTCTCACGTAGGTAAGTCCTCAAAGGGTACTACAGTTGTTTATTTAATACCCCCATAATACACAAGTTGGACTTATTAAGAGTAAAACTCAGCCTAGCCAGCTGTATCATAAGAGCATCGTCATCATAGAGAAGGGGTAGTAGCACAAGCTACATAGTGATATTTGAATATATCTGGATCGATGCTCCACACGAGTGTCACTAGTCCAACTTATTTCTACCATATTGAACCAACATTGAGACTACGTCTCCAAATAAGGGTTGGGTTGCCGCTGTCAGTGACCTCATCTATGGGCTTAACCCCATCTCCGTTGGGTTGCCGCTGTCAGTGACCTCATCTATGGGCTTAACCCCATCTCCCTCGATGAATCCAGAACCATACTCCTGGATAATCCCTTAGTCAAAGGGTGGCTTAACCCCATCTCCCTCGATGAATCCAGAACCATACTCCTGGATAATCCCTTAGTCAAAGGGTCATTAAGATTTTTCTCAGACTTTACAAAGTCTAGAATCACAACTTTACCTAGCAGGCGTTGTCTTTATTTATCAAGTTCTTATTCTGTAATTAGTCCATCATATTGTTTGAAATTGACATTAGGTCTATGATCATAAAAGATCATAGTCTATGTCTGAAGATGTAAACACATAGTGTTTGTGCAGATTAAGATTTGACCTTAATATATGAACATTTCAAACTAATGTGGAAATAAAATTTTGCAGTTATGCATATGCACATACATGAATGAAATTAATAATAGATACATGCAGAGCATTCAAGAGAACAATATATTTCATACTTCATAATTCATATGCATAATTTTTTTTTAAAATTCTTCTATTATAAGAGGTTACAAAATGGTTGCCTACAAAGTAGACCTTCCAAGTTTAAATCGGTTGCCTACAAATGAGACCTTCCAAATTAAAATTGGTTGCCTATAAATGAGACCTTCCAAATTTAAATTGGTTGTCTACAAAAGAGACCTTCCAAATTTATGTTGTCATTTTCTAGTACCACCTCTTATACAAATAATAATAATAATAATAAAATTATTATTTGTACATACGTGCTTTAAATTTTTACAAGTGCGTTCTTGCATAAAACCTTATAATTAATCATGTAACAAATACAAGTTATCTAAAAGAACATATGAATATTTATTGCAATATACATCATGATGCAATAAAAGAGATGAACTTTACATTTGAAGATTTGAAATATAATCCACCATATAAAATAGAATTTTTTTAAAAAAATGCTCCTCTTTGATTTGGTTCGCTCATATATTGATCATTTATCATTAGGCAATATATGATGCAAGAAGCGTAATTAAATAAATGCATATGAATTTTTCTCATAATTCCGGACCTCTTACTCCAAACCAAAAACTCCTAAAGTGAAAAGATTAAAATTTTACCCGGGTAGTTAGCCAAGTAAGGATAGTAATAGAGGTTTATCAAAAATCAATTAAGTACCTCGTTCCTTGCAGAGTGCGTTACGTAACCCCTAAACCTTGCCTTAGACACCAACTAATCCAAAAAAACTTGAATCGGTTCACTCAATGAGTTTTTGTTCCTTAACAGTATATGTGAATAGTAACTTCAAAAAAAAATATTTCCTGCAAACATTTAATTCGAATAGAGAATTTGCAGGGGTAAAACTGAGAATTCGTATAATTTGTTGTTTCCGTGACTTTTCCAAGCCAACCAGAGGCATGAGATTTGTATCAGAATATAAAAATGCTTTATAGGCCCTCAAAAGTAAATAACATTGATAGGTATACCTGCTGCAGACAACTTCCACATAAGTTATAGAACAAATCTGCATTCACTTTTACCATCTTCTGTACTAAGCTTATAAGATGCATAAATACTCCAAAGTATGAAATTATTGATTGAATGCATCATATTAATAGCTTAAAGAAATAAAAGCATTAAACCATGAATAAATTCAAATACTTCAGAGCATATATATATCCAGAGTTTGTTCTCTTGTCAAAACCATGTATATGAGACTTTCAAGAATAAATATATGTACACTGCTGCAAATTTATAGCATGTTTCTATTAGCAAATAATATTTGATCATTACAAACCTACGTATGGTTGTATGTCAGTGTATTTCTATGATTGTTTGTCGTTGCAATGCACATGAAACAAAGGTTGAGACAAATAAAGTGAATGATATAAATCAATAGCCAATTTCATAAAGAATTTCTAACTGCTATATAGGATTATATATTTCTTTCCAATTACAAGTTACAATTAATTGTAATTATTTAAGCAATAATTATCAACAATAATTAAAACTAATTACTGCAATTATAAATCAAATGAACAGTAACCAAAATTGGTTTTTTTTTAATTAAAACAATAGATAAGCAAACAATTAGCAATAATTATTTTGGTAAATAGTAACATTTTTTAACGAACAGTAAATGATATCTTTTAATATGAACAGTAAAGTCTTTATTTTCGGAATGAACGGTAACAGTTACAAATTTTTTTTTAAACTTTATAACAACAACAAATCAATAATACTAATAGATAAACAAATATATAATTAAAGCAATTATATTTTCTTTGTGTAAACAGTAACTATAAAAAAATTCTAAACTTTTTTCGGGTGAACAGTAAACTGTTGATGAACAGTATTTTTTAATTTTTTTTCGATTTTAAAAATTAACAACTATGAATACTCAATCTTCTAGATTGTTGAAAATTTATCAAATAATTAAGATTATAGCATGAAATAAATCCGAATAAAATAAACAATTAAATCTGGCCTGATCGGGAGCAGTCGTGTATTCACTGCCCTAGAAGATTAAGGACCCGCCTATCGCCCTGGCGCAGATGATCCCCTCTCCCCTAGCGGTAATTAAAAACTCCCGGAATCGGTCGGCCTCTGTACTCGGGCGAGAGTACAGAGCTTCTGCTCAGATGAAGAAAGTTGCCCAAAAACAAAACCAATACTATGAAGAAATAATATGAAGAGGAGAGAAGAGACTTGTTGTTTTTCTTGTTGTTTTTTCTGAGAATGTGAAGGGCTGCTTATATAGGGGTCTTAGAGAGCCGTTACAAATCATAGCAATCAATACAGTAATGTACGCCATAATGTCGACTGTTACGCAATAAACCCGTAATTAATACGGTAACGTTCGCCATAATTATATAGCCATTATGCACGTATTAATTGCCGAGGAAAATAAAATATGTAAAACATGTTAAATTGCCTTTTCTTTAATAAAATATCCAACAGATCTGAGGTTGAGGATCTTTGTCTAAAATCACTAAAAAAATCTTCTTTTTTCTAGTTGATTCCTATTCTATGTTGCTTGCTTGGAGATTTTGATATGGATATTTCTGTTCTTGGCTTGTTTGAGTTATCATGTTCCTTCTTTGATATTTGATCCCATCCCTTCTTGCTGTTGACTTTCTAAGCTACGGTGGCAAGGTAATTTCTTTGACATGCAAGAACTTTTTATTTTTTAATTTTTTTAATTCAAGAATACTACTTAGTTGATGGTTAAGATCTCATTAATACATTGTTGATGATTTAGATCTGCTTCATTACGTCATTAATTTCTAACTTTTTTAATTCATGATTAATGCTTGCTTGATGGTTTAGATTTAATTAATACCTTTGACATGCAAGGACTTCGTTAGTTTTTTAATTAAATATTACCACTTGGTTGATGGTTTTAGATTTGTTAGATTTTTTTTGACATGCATAAAAAATAGGGTTAAATTACATTGAAATATATATTAATGAATGCTGATAATCTGCAAATCTTATACTAGTTAATATAACGATTATATGTCACTTATGTCGCTGCATGCACTAGTAGAAAAACGATCAACCTAGACGGAAATTTCCGTCTAGGTTGATTCAAATTCCGTCTAGATTATCTCAACTAGACGGAATTGGGTGGTTTATTTTGCTTCCGTCTAGATTGAAGCAAACTAGACGGAATTCCGTCTAGGTTGATCAATCTAGACGGAAAACAACCTAGACGGAATAAGAATTCCGTCTACTTTGCAGACCAGATGGAATTCCGTCTGGTCTGTCAAACTAGACGGAAATTCCGTCCAGTTTGGTTTTTTACAACCTAGACGGAATTCCATCTAGGAAGATTCAACCTAGACAGAATTCCGTCTAGATTGCCTTTTTTCAGGAAAAAAAATTAATTAAACTTTATACTTTCCTGTACAATTACATTAATATTTGAATACATCCAGAAAATATTGTACACGCCACATTCAACCATCCAATTATAATCAAAATTCATAACAATTCCATTAAAAAACATCTATATAACCAAATCCAACACATTGTACAAATTCAACCATCCACTTCAAAATATACATCAATCAGTTCCGTCTAAAACACATCCAACAACATATATACTAACAATGCACATGACTAAGATAGGATACACGACATGAATTAATGTAGTGTTATAACAAATAAAACTGTTTATTGCATTAAAAATAAAAAAACCTCATCCATCGTCGTCGGCGGGGGTATCTCTATCCCGATTACGAGAACGGGTGCTGTTCCCTCCAATATCTCCACTCTAAATGTTTAATTGAATAATCATTATGTGGTGTTTGATAACATATTAGATAAAAATGAATTTATAAATATAAGAAAAAATAAGGTACCTGAGCACTACTCTGTCTAGCGCCGGAATTATCGCCAATCGAGCTAATGATCCGTATGACACCACCATACGCGCTATAAGGAATAGCACCGCCTAAATATTGTATAACATACCCCATGAGATCGTCCATCGAGTTCGCCGTCAGCGCAACTCTAGTCATCTCATTAGTCACCTGAATATGCAGCTCCAGGCCAATTTTGTCAATCAGATACGCAGAGATACGTGCGACAAATGGCATAGCCTGGAAACTGCTTGTGGCTGCTCTCGTCGATGTAGATGGTGTGGAGGATGCTGTGGACGATCTGATGCTTATACCAGGTGAAGCTCCGACACCATGTAGAGGATATCTTCCTCTCCTATTATTAGGGAGAAATAAATATTAAACTTTGCTCTCAAATTCAATAATGGTAAACAAATATAAATAGTATGTAGTATTCAAATTGATTCGATTTTTCACCATCCTTACCTATTATGACCCATCAAGTTCTGTGTGAGATTGATGTTCTCCTCTGCAGAAAGCATGTGAGGGTCCGGCTCGGTTTGTTCCTCCTCCTACGAAATGTACACAGATGCAACCTCCTTGGATGCAGTCTCAAAGCCCTCCTAAATCACAAATTTATAGTTAATTCAAGATAATGACCATATTATTTGTGTTCTCGTTTCCTCGTAATGTTAACAAAATAGAATTAATAATACTACTAAAGATATGTATAAGTCTCACCACTAACTCGAGATTTGCTGTGATCTTATCCCGATTCTTCTCATCACCCCTATATTGTTCACGAAAAGTACCATATGCCGCTCTGGCCCTCAAGTGTATCGGCATTAATGATTTCCCCTGTCATATTATAAATTATGAGATTTCATAATCATACTAAACATTAAGATCTTTTAAATCTTTAAATGACATATACCGTATCTTGACAATAAACATCCTCACAATCTTTAAATGACATATACGTATCTTGACAATAATCATCCTTATGCCACCTCATATTCTTTGCCGTTTCCTTGTTCATGTATAATCTTCGCAATCTAGGAGCCAATGGAAAATGTCGAAGCAATTTGACTGGAATTTTCTTCTGTGTTATCCCTGTCTCCGTTGTAATCCTTGTTGAAGAATTTGTGCGCTGTTTCCACCTAGAAACTTCACATGTCGGACACTCTTGAAGGTCTTTATTGGCTTTGTGGTACAAAATACAATCATTCGGACATGCATCAATCTTATTATAATCAAGACCCAGAGCAGAGACAATCTTCTCAGCTTGATAAGTTGTTTGGGGTATGCTATTCTCTCCTCCAGGGATTACAGTCCGAAGCAAATCAAGAAGCATTTCAAAATAATTATCTGACATACCGCTAAGTGTCTTAATATGAAGGAGTTTCAGCATAAATGAAAATATGGAGTACTCGGTACATCCCTCATATAACCTACCTCTTCGGCTTCAACTTCGTTATCATCTTCACTTTTGTCTCCAATATCATCCTCGACATTATCATCAACATCATATTCTGTAGGTCGAGGAAAAATATCATTCAACAATGTTTCTGTGTCATCTATTCGTTGGCCACCGGACGTACCAACATGCATATTTGGATCCTCATCTTCAGTGATACCCTCCCCATGCCAGTTCCAGTATTTATATTTCTCATCAAAACCTGATTTTATTAGGTGAATCCGTATATCATTTCTATTCAGCAGCTTCAAATTCCTACACCTACAACAAGGACAGTACATAGCACCGCTTCTTAAATTTCTCGGATTCATTTCCGCATAACGCATGAAGGCTTCACATCCCTCCTTGTATCGTGTGTCGTGAAATCTACGATGCCTAGGGATATCTATCCATGACTTGTCAGGAATTATCCTCATCTGTAAATTATATATAAATATTAAATACGATTAGTCTCACAACTACTAATACATCCATTACTCTTATACATTCAACACACATCAAACATACGTTCATATATCATTTAACAATATGAATATTTATCTACATAAAATATATATAAAACATACATAGAAACTAATTATACTAATCTTGCGGCTGTCATAGGAAGGCTTCTATCCATTAAGAATATAGTAGTGCTTACATACAACTTCATATACTTTGTATATTTTCATTTCTTAAAAATTTCGGCAGCACCTACCCGCTGTTCTCCCTGTACACTGTACGGATGTTATTATGCGTATCAGTAATAACCCGAAACATAGAACAACATACGCTTATGGTACACGGAGAACAACGAATAGGTGCTGCCAAAACTTTCAAGAATGAAAATATACAAAGTATACAAAGTTGGATGTATGCACAACTATATTCCTAACCCGTCCGAGAAGGATAGATCCAATAATTACAAATTTCAGTACCAATTTTTTATTCCTATAATATAAAATAAACACTCATTTTTGGGAGAAAACTTCGTCTCCTACCCAAATCTGAGTCGTATATCATATATTATAAGTCTAAATAATTGGATGTAATTATTGGACGGAAGTCTAGGGATAACGTTATTTTTTTATTCACCTAAATTGGATTATAACACATTATAAAAATTTATAATGTGTTATATATCACTCTATTTTTTAAAAAAATTTATTTCACATATTTTCACATCACAAACTTAAATAATCACACATACTTATAGCACGAATGAAACTTAAATGAGTTAGGGTTTATAAGTGTTTAAAAAAAATATGATTACTGATGTTGTTCAAATGAATTAACATGTAGTTAAGTTAGGGTTTTCAGAATTGAACTCGTATATTTTTTTATCATAAATTATGGGTTTTAAACTAAATTCAACAATAAATAATAAAAATTTAAAAATTCTAAAGATCGGTAGAAAAAACATACCTTTTATAGGCAGATGAAAGAACGGACACGCCGATGGGGAAGGGGCTGCCGAGAGGGGAGAGGGGGGAGGGAGGGAAGGGGGCT